TGTATCGGCTCTGAGGAGCCCTTAGTGTTTTCAGTATGTGAGACTGCAGGGAAAAATTTTGGGACATGCTGATCAAGTAAATCAGCTGGTAAACTGTCGTTTTTATCCTGAGGGGCGGGGGTTGTATATTGCCATAGTCCCAATCATCTTTATGCAGTACAGCCAAAATAATATCTGAGTTTGTATTCAATTGTCAAAAAGCATACATTTCACTACTGCTTAGGCTGGGTTCAGATATTTACCCTTCATTAAAACAATGCAAAGGGATTTCACTGCTACTTAGGCTGGGTTCAGACATTTACCCTTCATTAAAACAATGCAAAGGGATGTGTTGTTTCATGTCCCAGTGAGACATGGCAGTATGATCCAGGAAGTCACAAATGTATACTGTAGATTTAAAGTTTATTAGAGTAGATGCCTAAACACAGCCCTGTGGTTTCTAATATTCACAGACAGGATTCTACAACTCTGTAAAGTTCTCACTACAGCAACAGTTTTATTGTTTGTCTTGACAATCTTGAGGTAAGAGCAGAAACAGTGTTCTAGTTACACAGTAATCAGCCAGGAAAGTACAACACATGTAGTGACTGGCCAATGCAGTGCCCTTCCAGATGGCATCACGCTGCACTGCATTTTTATCATTTCTGGCAGAGGCCTCCCTGGTGCCCCAGTGCATCAACACATTTCCAGCACTGTTTTAGAAAGGCTGCATTTTTTCAGGCAGAGTAAAAATCTGTGAATACAGCCTTACTGTCTTGAGCTCCTGGCGAAGTTGCTGGTTCAGGTTCGAGGACTCCTGCAGCCTGGCCTCTAGGGCGGCAATCTTCTCCTGTTTAATCTCCAAAGTCGATTTCAGAGTAGACTCCAGTTTGGTTTCCAGAATCTTAAACCTGAGAATAAAGGTTCAGTTAGATGTGTGTGTGCATTTGTGTGTCAAGTATTATCATCATAAACCCCAGTATAGTAAGGCCAACAGAGTATAGCAGGTGGGGGAGACATAGCCCCAGAAATCCCCCAGATTCATTCAAGATAAAATAGAAAGCACATCTGATTTATTTCAGTTCCACTTTTACTGATCACTTTTATTGATTCTAAGACTCTGGTCTTATTTTAGTTCTAAGATAGGACAGTTAAGAGACTAATCACAGTAAATATAGTGGTTTGTGTGGACATTTGTGAGTCGATACCTGTCATCGGAGCTCTCATCATGCAGTAGCCTTTCCTTGTTCAGTCCAATCTTCTCCAGCTCATGGGTCAGTTTCTCTAAATCATTATTCATCTGCTGAGTCAGTAGCTTCTCACTCACAAGCTCCTAAACACACGTATACACACTGAGTGCTTCTGAATATCACTGACACCAACAATTTATTTAAAAAAAAACTGCACGACTTTAATCACAGTTCACTTTTTTAATCAAACTGAATTTCACATTCAACAGTACTAAATTGTAGATAATATTAAACATCTGGTGGTATAAGGGCTCTTCTGACCTCTCTGAGTGTGATCAGGGTCTTCTTATCAATGGTGGCCTGTTTGACCAACTCCTTGTTCTCTCTCTCCAGGTCTTTCACTCTTGTGCAGGAGTCCCTGAAGAAGATCATCTCTTTGCCCATGGTCCGATTCTCTTTCTCCAATGTGGAAATCCGCTGGTTGCTGTCATCCAGTTTAGAGTCACGGATCTCGGCCTGCTGCCTTAGCCGCTTGTTCTCCTTCTCCAGAAGCTTCTTGTCTTTCTCCAGCTGGGAGCTTTCCTGTTCCAGAGCCTTGTTCTCTTGCTCCAGTTGCTCCAGGCGTTTACTTGAGATTTTGAGCTCCTCTAGGTTGCGTTGGAGTGTGTGATTCTCAGTCTCTACCTCTTGTAGTTCTGCCTCCAGCTGCTGAATCTTCTTGCTGCTGTTTTCTAAAGCCTTCTGCAAGCGCTGGTTCTCCGTATCTAGGCCCTGGTAACTCACCTGGGACAGAAAAAGCCAAATTGGGATATTAAAAGCATTTATGAGCTAGTTGGGCAGCTCCCTGATCATATATGTCAGGTTTACTGTAACCTACCTCTAAAATATTCAATGGTGATAATAAGTTACAAAAATCTAACATTTAAGGCACCTTTAACTCTAAAGCTGTTCTGTCTGACACTGTGGAAAGGCTATTAAAGACCAGGTAACTCAACAATAAACACTTATGCTCAATAATGACTATAACTAACAGTAGCCTGCTTTATATCTCTCTAAGAAGGCTACTTGCCACATGTGACACATTTTAGCTATGTCTCACTGCTCTCGAATCACTTAAATACTCATCGTATGATTGGCAGTCCTGAAGTCTAACCTCTAATCTCTCTGTCTTCTTGGATGAGGCTTTGAGCAGTTCTATGCTGCGCTTCAGCTGGCTCCTCTCACTCTCCAGTTCCCTGTTCTCAGCTTCTAGCTGAGCAGCCTTAGCCCCCGCTGACCGGAGGCTCTCAGCTGAGCGCCGAAGCTCCAGGTTCTCCTGCTCCAGCTGGGAGTTCTCCTTCTCTAGAGCCTCCAGCTGGAAGGCTATATTTTTCAGAGCATCCAGTTTCTTCTTCAGACGACGGCCTTCTGCTTCAAGCTCTGTGTTCTCCTTCTCCAAAGAAGACACCTACATACACATAATAGAGGAAGATGAGGAATAAAACATTTATGTCTGAAAACAAGCTGACTCTGAGGCTATGCAATGGCAGCCAAATATCTATACTTTATTCTTTACCACTGATGTATTATTAGATAGTGCTTTGATGTTTAATATAAACTCATTACACATTTCGTATGTTGTATAACAATTTTTAACTAAATACAGTAGGCTATAACTTCTAATAGAATTTTCTCTGATGCAGAAAATGAGTCATTGGATCTAGGGCAGTAAACTTTCTTTTTAACATTATTGTTACACGTATCAAATGATTTGGAGAATAACTAACATTCCACATCTAATTTGATAACATGAAACAAAAGGTAGTAAAATTGGGCCATGTGAAGAAACTGACACTGAATAATTAACATGACATGCAGACCACACTGACATCTCCATACACAGACCAGGCAGGAAGCAAAATGCACCATACCTTGTCACAGGTGATTCCTAGACTAGCAACTTTCTTTTGCAGGCTCTCATTGTCCCTTTCCAGCTTCTGTATCTGAATCTCCAGCTCCTCTGCTCTCTCACCTTTCTCCTTCATCACATCCAGCTCCTTACCTGCATAACAAAAAAATGCACTCTTACAAACAAGCATAATTCAAAATTAACTAAACAAAAAAAAATGTCCTCAAAAGAAACTAAAGGTAGCTGCTATAATACCAATTGTTGTTGATCAAACAGGACAAAAACAACACCCACACTTACTGCTATGAACCACAAAAACATATCACTCACGTAGTTGTTTCCTTTCAAACTCCATTTTATTTAGTTTGGCGGTTGTCTCACAGATGGACTCGTGGAGAACACGATTCTCTTTCTCCACATCCTTGACCCGCGCCTCAGCACCCACCTGGCAGCGCTGGCGCAGAGACGACACAGTCTGGCTTAGGTGTTTGTTCTCCTGCTCCAGATCCTTCAGCTGGAGAACAGAGAGATTTAATGATAAGGTCATGCTCAATGTAAGAGACAAACTTAAAACCTGGCAATATTTTAATCAGACGGGTTTTTCCAGCTTCTGCATCTCTGGGGCTGAAGAAAAAAAGATTTTTTTTTTTTTTTTTACTGTTTCAGAATTCTGTACAAACCTGTCTCTCCGAGTTTTCTCGGAGTGTTTCCAGAGTCGTCTCCAGTAAAGCCTTCTCCTTCATCAGGTCAGTGCTGAGCAATTCAGCGCTGCGAAGTGACTCTCTATCTGCTGCCAGTTCACTCCCCAACTGCTCCAACTGCAAACACACAATCATTAAAGTAAGATTTGAAAATATTTTGGCTGGGTTAAAAGCCTTTTGTTAACTTTACCAGCAGCTGAATTCATACTTGAATGTGTTTTGCACTAACCTCTAGTCACACAGGAATAAAAGATTCCCACTCTGAATTTTCTCTTTGTGAGAGAAAAACAACTTCATGCTTTGTATTCAGAGGGCACAGAGAGGGGCTTACGTTTCTGGAAATAGCTGAGAGACTTCTCTTAACGAGGGGCGTTTAAATGTCAAACACTAGAAAAGGCAGTGCAGGACTGACTCGATTTACAGCTTTGCTTCCATCCTCCTATCCACCTTTCTCCAGACTTTCTCCTTCTTATCTCACACTGTCACTGTGTGAAAAGGTCTAGAGCCAAGTGTTAGTCATATGTTATGAAGGAGTGGTGGTACAACATGCTAATCCTGTTGGTGAGGCTGATAAGAGGTAGAAAATCTAACTGCAATTTCAACCGAGGATGCAGTTTCTTAAGACAGATACAACGCAGGGGGGAATCATCTTTTGGACATGCTAATCTCTATGATGTCAAGATTTACACCATTTAGAAAGTTTCATGTTTAATGTGTCAAAAGCATTTAAAAGATTAAGAAATGTTAGACGGGTATGTCTGTGTTATTTTGCCAGTGAGTCATTAAATATGTCATACATATTGAACGTTTATCCACAAGGAAAAACAGAATTGAAACTAGCCCTCCATTGTTACTTAGCCACATTAAAACAATTAATTATAAGATCCATTGCCCACCTTCTCGTTCAGTCTCTGGTTTTCTTGGCTGACCTTGGCCAGTTTTGCCATAGTGTCCTGACTGGCTGCACCTCTGAGCTCCTCCACAGTCTTCAGCAGGGTCTGATTGTCTTTCTCCAGCTTCAACATGCGACTTGAGGTCAGCTCATTCACCTCCTCACCTAGAGACTTCTGAGGGACTGAGAGACAGGAAGAACATATGTTTTACCAAATACTAATAAACAAACCTAAAGTTTTTCCTTAGATTTTTGGTGTTTAAAGTCAAAACCACAGAAAGATAACCACCAGTCATTCAGCATTTAAAAAAAACATGCTACTAGGATAAAAAAAAAAGAAATCCATTAAAAAAACGTAAATTAATACCAGCTCTTGTGACCCAAGTTTAGTGGTCTTGAAGCTCTTAAAGTGCAGTTTTTACACAAAGTGTTTATCCAGATCCTTTACTAGTTAAACATCTTAACAGCTTTTATAACCCTAACACACAGATTACCCTCCAGGAGCCACTGAATATGAATTGCAGGTTTAACCAAGTGGAAAGAAAGTCTGGTGGAGGCTGGCAAAAGCAGAAGGGCTGTGGGGATGACTCCAGGACCAAGAGCCAATGACCAAAGCATGGTCTGTCAACCTTCTGGAAGCTTAATCTGGTCAACTCGAGGAGCTGTTTTCTTCATAATATTTTAACTCAAAATCCCATACTTTACCTTTCTTTGCTTTCTTCAGCACTCCTCCTCGTGTTCTATTTTTGTAACTTATTCCCGCTGCCAGTCAACATACAGAAACCTGTTCTTTTTCTCGGTTTCCAAAAAGGTCTGCGGCTCCATCTTCTTACCTTCAGTCAGCTCTGGTGTCTTGGATAGTTGCTCCAGCTCCCAGCCCAGGTGTAGGGACTCGTCCATGCTCTGCTTCTGGGCCATTTCGAGCACAAGGTTTTCTTCCAGCAGCTCTTCCATGCGTTTACGGTCCAAGTCCCGCTCCTGGAGATAGACAGGAGGGTTTATGAGAAACAAATACTGAACACATGGCTGCTGAGATGATAGTCTACGTCTCTTTTAGTCTTCCTTTTCTGCTTTTTGTACTTGTCATCCTGGTTTTTGAACCTCAGCCTCTCTAGCACCAACTCTCACCACTGTGCGTACACTCCAATCTGCATCATCAGTGTAGTAGTGATGCAAAAAAAAAAAAAAAAACCATCAGTCTACAGTGACATTGGAACACTGATCCATAAATCCTTCTAACCATCTCCAGGTCATGGATCTTGGATTTCAGTTGCAGATTCTCTTTTTCCAGGAGGTGTAGTTTGTCAGAGCGGGTCCTGCTGGCATCCAGCTGCTCCTCCAGCATGGTCTTAGTCTCCAACAGGACCTGATTGTCTTCTTTTAGCTCCTACAAAAACCAGCACATCAGCAAAACATACAAGTTATGCAACAAAAACACTACAACCAACACAAATTTTTTTGGAGATCTTCTTCAGAGACAATTTTATTATTACCCCTAATATACTAAGCTCTACAATTATTGCAATCAGAAGTTACAGTATTAATAGTAACAGTATGAGCAGTAGTGGAAATGGTGCTTTCACCTCAATGCTTTTATCAACATCCTTTATTTTTTATATCTTTTCTGTCTTCTAAAATGCATGACTATTTTACATGCATCACTTCAAACTGCTTAACCCTCCTTTTTTAAAACTCCTGAAGTCGCCAGTTATTTTCTATGCCTGCACCAAAACACTGATCAACCTTGAAATTATGTCTTACATAAGATGCTGCCTTATGGCTTGCATGCTTTTTAAAACATGGCCAGTTTGAACTAATATTGTTAAAACTTGTTTCAAGTAAAGGTTAGTTTCTTTTATGTCAGATATCTTTTTTGCTTAAAGGAACACTCTGTGCACTTGTGTACCTCAACTCTGGCCTTGTAAAACTCAATGTCATGGAGTCTCTCCTTGTATCGGATCAGCTCGCTCTCCAGTTTGTCTACACGGATCGCTTTCTCTCTGAGTACGTCCAATTCGTCACGGTAGGCCCGAGCTGACCGAGCATCTGACAGCAGCTGGTAGCTCTGCAGGAGGTGACAGCCAAACGAATGAATACATGGATTTGTGTATTCTGAAAATATCACACAAACAATTATGCAAACAGACAATAATAAACATTTTTTAGACGTCAATGGGTTCATCTGGTATGACTAGAAGATTATATATGAACTACTAACAGTCTGACTCTTGCATGTTATATAAACAGATAAAAAACAGTGCAAACTCTCACACTATCAATTATCACAAACACACATCCACACAACCTGTCCTCCATTCTGTTAACACATCCGCCTTGTTTGCAGCATCCACTCTGTTAGCCAGCCTGCCGCCCACTCCAAGTCAAAAGCCACGTCAGGCTGACGCTAGGCTAAACATAGCTCTAATAGCCCCTAATGAGCCAAGTCACTAGCTAGACGATTAAAGCCTGGCAGCACTGCAGAAAAAGTACTTAGAACAAGGAGGGAGGAGCAGGTGAAGGGGAGATGAACTCACATGAACCATGGTTTGTTGTGTGCACATAGGCTTGTGAGGGTTGCTGTGTTTTGTGGTATTACCTCTTGCTGAAGCCTCTTGAGCTCCACCTCCATATTCTCAAGCTCCTGTCTGGTGTCCAAAAGCTGCTCACTCTTCTCTTCTCTGAAAAAGAGAGAGAGAGTTATCAGTTAAGCAAGAAGAAAACTGAAAAAGAAGAGAATCAAATGTATGTGAGTAGCTTCACCATCTTTGCTTTCAGCAGCTCAGAACTTCATAGGTTTTTTTAGTAACCAAAGCTCTTTGAGTTTTTGCCTCATTACATAGCCAAACTGAAGAGTGAAAAAAATTTCAACAAGAATATTTAAAAACAATCCTAACAACTATTTGGAGGTCACAGTCTGTATTTCTCAAAAGGTGAGTGATTGACTTCAGATGCTATTTTCACTCCATTTTGATGAGTTTTGGTATAGACGCTTCTTAATTTAAAACAAATGTTAGTATTGACACATGGCATAGGTAACACCCAACTGAGCACAATAGGCCATTGTTGGAAAGGTAAAAGAATCAAAACCTCATATGTTGACTTGAAGGCTTTTCAAGTAAACCTACTAACCCAGTTTCTAAAGTAAAAATAGTCTACTGTGTCTGGTATGCTAAAGCTCTAGGGTTCAGGACACAATGTCTTTCCTGTGCCTTGCCCTGAATTCAAATACTAATAAAGAACCTCATTTTGATGGACATCACATTCAGAAAGCAGTGAAACCATCTGAAGAAACAGTTTGCTGTGACTAGTTCACGGGAAAACAAATGCAACTCTCTCCCTGGGGCTCAAACCCCTGATCTTCCTTCAACCTGGAGAAAGAAACTGCTACACTAGAGAAGGACAACAAAACATTTTAGTGTATATCATAACAAAAACCCTAGCCACCCTCACCAGCAGGGTTTTGCTGTCTGGTAGCATCTTACATTGTCCTGTACCATTTTTTTCAATTGAAGGTAAAATAGGGAAGTCTGACATTTGCCGTCTGTGTGTTCTCCAGGCTCCTGCCATAGAGGAAGAATGTGCAGCACTGCTTTGAAGGACAGTCACTGCATTCCTGAGATGCAGTTCTGTGCGTTATCATGAAGTCGCTCCACTGATCATCTGACAGACTATTTGATTACAGCTCTCTGGAGTCTCAGGGTACATCTCAAAAAAGCAAAGGCATCATTCTTTTCTTGCTCCCTCATTTATCTCCTCCTTTCCTACAGCCAACATTGGACTCAATATTCAGGCAAAATCTTCCTTCACCAATTTCTGTTTTTGTCTTATCGGTCAACCCCTTCAACCTCTTTGTCCCCGACAACTCCCCCTTCTCCAAATCAAAAACACTTGTCAGCTAAAGTATGGAACATTAGCTTTAGCCTGATATTATGGATGCAGCAGGCCCTGCTGCATACATTAATGCTTTAATGCTTGCTGCATCTGTGCAAGCACAGACAAACACTTGTATGCACTGCCTTACAAAGCCTCCACAGACAACCTTTATTCCTTGTTCGATCTGTAACCCTAAATCTTGTCCCCATCTCAAAACTACAATGTTTGCCCTTCTGAGAACCAACAAAACACTTTAAAACTTCTATAGAAGATCCAGTAATAAAGAAATTATGTATTTAGTCCTACAGGAACATGGTTAAAAATCAATCCAACATAATGGAACATTTTTACCTTTCATCTCACTGAGTTGGAATTTGTGGGAGTTACTGATCTACTGAACTCAAAGACTGAATGTGAATAACAGTAAATGAATAATGATTTGCCACTGCTGCAATTTTTGTTTCTTATAAAGCAATTTACTAGTTTTCAGAAGGATATGTTTGAAAACCGACTGAGCTGAAAAAGAACAGGTACAATACACCTATATTTAAAGCTAGTCGCAGACTTTTAGAGGCAGATAAATGGAGGCAGTACAATATAAATGTTTGGCCTGGAAATCAGGTCAAGACCCACTTAGGAATAGCAGCTCTAAATATGACTACATGTGTTTCATAGATATAAACTTAGTGTATCTGGGTTTAAATGGGGGGAGAAGAGCAGCAAAGCCAGAGTAGCTTTAACAGAAAGAATAATTAGACCATTGTGGGAATACTGAACCATACCCCCCGGCTCTGACCTGGCCTTCTTCAGACACACATCTACATTTATATGTAGTGACAATATCTGTGCATGTGCATAAACCCACACACAGCAAACACACTCCTCTTATGCCTCAGAGAAAACAGTGCAATCATGTGACCAGACTACACCAGACCGCCACGTGACAATACATTTCTACCACTGACACCAAAGCAACAAATAAATACCACCACAACAACCAACAGACAGAATAACTCACTGGTGTGCTGGTGGCGTCCCCAGTTCTACTGAAGAAATCGTCATAATGTTGGTCAAGAAAGTTTAAGAGAGGGTCTACAGTGATGAATGTCAAACATCAGCACAAAAAACACAATCAATGAGTTTAGGCTCACTCAAGGAGAGAGGCTTTTCCTTCTTTACATGTCACCAAGCAGGAGGTGACCTACACACCCCACTTCTAGTCTGGAAATCACATCTAGCATACAAATGAAGCAGGAACTACACTTTATTTGACCTGACAGACTATCACTGAACTTCAATACAAGACTAGTTTCTACTTGAAACTGTGGAACAGAACAACAACAGATGATGAAATATACTAGACAAGCATTCACTATCAACACTGACCTCATTATGCCAGTCAGTTAGACACTACGTTCTGGTTACACTGAAATACGTCATCCTTTTCTCCTAACTGATCTGTGTTGACCATTACTGACTCACAAGCCATTACTGCACTTGAAAAAGGAAGCTCTATTATTCATAAGCAGAAGTTAAAGGCCCCTCCAAGGTTTGTGTGAGGAGATTTACTTGTGATTGTGTGTATGTCTGTGGGGGGAGGGCAGTGTGACATCACAGCAGTCGAGTCTTATGTGAGGTTAAAATTTATTTATTTATTTATTAATCATAACGAGTTCCCATCAAGATGATGATGACTGGAAATCTCTTCAGGTTAGAAAGGTTCAAATACACAATTTTATTATTAAAGGACGTAAATAATCTGGTGAGCAGATAGATAACAGTAAACAGATTAAAAAAAACAACAACATAATGCAATAACTGTGTCAGAAAAGTCAATCAGATCCAGTGGAAACCCTCTGTACAAATATCCCTCTGATAAATACTCCATTATATTCCCAGAAAACAGAATTATGACAGAAGCCTTGATTACTGTCCATCAAAAAAGCTTATGAAGTACAAGCAGTCACGTGACCTGGCATCATTTCAGGAACTAGCTGATGACAATCAGGAACTTCCCAGTTCTCATGGTGTTATGCTGTCTGTTCTCTATTGCTGCTTGAGGTACTGAAATTTGTTTATCAAGATATGTGTGTGGTATTTGTTTCTCATGGTGTTATGTTTGTTCTCCATTGCTGCTGAAACACTGAAATTTCCCCATTGAGGGATCAATAAAGTACCTACTTACCTACCTACCTACCTACCTACCTACAACATGCGTTAGTAAGAAAAGCTGTCATGTAACAGAATGGGAATTACAGTAGCAAACACTATTAGAAGTGACAGCTACTTTTCTATTGCAGCCAATGTCCTTGTTGTATGTAGTTCTTGAACTTGTTTAGTCCTAGCTACTGAGACAGAACAAGGTCTATTTACATTTCTTGATTTCTCTCCAATTTCTTATCAACTGATTGAGCCGTGGTACTCACAGTTCCTGACGCAGGCGCCTGATCTTGGCCTTGGCATCAGCCAACTCCACAGAGAGGTGCTGGCGGCTCTCAGTCCTCCTCATGCTGGGGGAGTCACCGGGAGACTGGGTTGGACAGGGAGCCAGCGGAGACAGCTGCACGCAGTCTCTCTCCTGAGTTAACTCCACTATAGTCTGGATGGATGGAGGAAGAAAGAGAGGACAGGTTGTGTGATTTCTAGCTGTGTGGAAAATCCAAAATTCCAAGAATGAGAGCAAGGGCCTTCCAATTAAATGTATGCTTTGCTGGAGAACTGACATTTGATAGCTCAAATCCAGATTTATTAAAGAACTAAATATACTGTATTACGCAATAGTTTGTGGTAGCGTACTTGTAAACTACAGCAGACTGGAATTCAACAAGGACAGTGGAATAGGCTTAAAACAAAGAGAAAACCCATGGATTCACCAAAAGCACCCTCACCCCAAAATGACAACACAGGCCTTGGAGCAAGAAGTATGCCCATGGCCCCACACAACCAATTTTGAACTAGTGCCTACGACAGGAAATGGGATTTTAATTGAGAGGGGCTGGACTACACAGTGATAATCTGGAGGCTAATAAAACCCCTGACACACACAGATCAGCTATATCAGTTGTGGGCATCTGCACCCTATGGGTTGGAAACTCATTTAATGATGTGTATACTAAAATACACAGTCATATACCCTCCCATCCATGGGACAGTTAATTGTTTCAACCCTTCCTTCCTGAGGCTGCTCTTATGCGGTAAAGGCAAAAAGAGAAATGTTTCCACATAACCCTGGCAAAGGCTGCCCATCATTTTTATTAGCAATGTTCTGTTTCGGGAAGTGTAACAGACAGCCAGAAGCACAAAGTACATACTGTAACAGTGTTCCACCCCCAGCACAATAAAAAGACAAATAAAATCAACAACACTCTCCTAGTTGTTTTCTCCTCTCACCTTTGTATTGTGCTTAGTTGGTACGTTGCTGTGATAATAAAAGGAATTCCCCAGGTTCAATAAGTCTGTTTTAACATACCCATCTATGTCATTACCTCTAGCTGTGTGTCCCTTTCATCCACCAGGCGTTTCAGGTGGAAAGCCAGGTTTCTGGAAAGGCTGTCCAGATTCTCAGGAGGCGTTTCGCCACTTTCCAACCACTGCAGATCGACTACGTTCTCCTGATTATGAGTAACCTAGAATAACCATCATTAAATCATCAAAAAATATCGTCACCAGACAAAAGAACATTATTCAAAGATGCATGCCAATTATGAATTCAAATCCCTTTGTTGGTACATTGTTGTTCCTGCCATATAGTGAACTTAACTATTCACCATCCCATGCCACTGTTATTGCACAGCAGGCAATGCAACCAAACGAGGGCTGGTGAGGTCTGATAACTTAAACATCAAAATTTTCTCCAATGTTGTTTACTATGGAGGCGAAATACCTCTTGGATGTGGGATGCTATGGCAGCTTTTGTGTCAAAGTCCAGGGTCTGGATACACTCAATGTACTCTTCTTTCTTCTCACACTGTAAACCAAGAAAGTGGAGGAGGGGTACAAAAATCAATTTATTGAAGACAAGCTTTTTGCAGATGTTTAAGAGTTTGTTGAGTTGGAAGGTCAAGTAGCCCAACACTGCAGAAACAAACCCTAATCTGATTTGATATACAGGTTTCCAGGTGGCAGTAGTTGTATTTAAGAATGCAGTCTAGTCTTCAAAAGCAAGTTTATCTTCTGGGTGAGACAAAAAAAAATAAATTTTCCTATCTTGCTGGCATAAGATACACTTACAATAAGACTGCACACTAAAGAGGTTGTCCCGCTGTGTGCTACTTCTTATTCAACACCAGGTGCGGACATGCTTAACGCAGACAGAGCACCAAGTCAGAGTTACTCACGTCACCGTCACTATGGTGCCTTTTTGCTAAAACAATAAAGTTGGTGAAAAGCCAGTGCCGTTTGAAATGAGGTGAGCAAGAGCTGAATGGGGCCTTTGTCAAAAGACAGGAAAAGGTCTGTATGTCATTTACTACACAACATTTTCTGAATTAATTTGTTTTATTCAAGAGAGCAAATGGCTGTAATCTAGGCAGGCTGAAAAGAAATGGAGAATTCTTCCCAAGTTACTGGCTTTGCTACAACATAAATAAATAAACTAGCTCATTTTAACTGTCATAAAATACAAAAAAAAATAAAAATAAAAATCAGGGGACAGCATCATTTATTATATTGATACAGAATCATAATCACACAAATGTCTTTTAATATACAACTGTTATGAACTTCCTTTATTCCTGTTCCTTGAAACCTCAAATACACATACAAAAAAAAGGGTACAATTGTTTAAATGGTATAAACTGTGCTCTTACCTGAACAGCACAGCCTAGTAGCAACAGCAAAAGTTTTTTCATCTCCTCCAGACCTTGCTCTAAAAACAAATATATATATAAATATAGAGCATTATGATTATAGCAAAACCACATGAACTACGAAACACTATTAAAATGACCAAAACCAAACAACACACACCTAGCAATTATTCTAACTCTGTCTTGTTTCAGTTTTACCTTGACATTCTGTTTAACTGGCTTTTGTGACTCAAGAGGCAAAACAAGATTCTATGGATTTTTGCAGCAGCAACCACCGTCTCAAGTATTTAATTATAAACACATGTATAAAGGATAAGTACAGCTACTTTTACGATTTCTGCCTAATAAAACCCCTTCCTATAGTTACAGTGCAGTGCCACAGTGTTTTTAATAGTGACATTGGCTGGCAGGAAGTTCTAGGCCTTTTCCATGTGTCATGGCATATTGTTAGAAACTGCTGAAACCCACAAACAGCTGCTAGCACGCTTAACTGGCCTGAGCTCATGAGTGGGATTTGGGGCTGAAACACAGTAACCCAGGTGGTGTATGCATGTGTTACAGTGACTAAGTTGTATGGTATAAGCAAGTGTACATGTGTCTATGTCTGTACTAGTAGTGTGTTTCCCGTACTGAAACCAGTGTGTGTGTGTGTGAGTGTGAGTGTGAGTGTGAGTGTGAGAGAGAGATAAGCCAACTCAAAAGGCCCAGTGGGTATTGAGTGCTAACACTGTCTAGCTGTAATAATAATAAATTAGTGACAGCATTTCTTCTGTGGAGGGTGGTCTGTTTGCCTCTTAGTTTAATGGGCCAATCGTCAGCATGGAACAACTAAAAGCAGGCATACAAAGAACTAAAAATAAATAAATAAATAAATAAATAAAAACACAGCTTCTTTCTTTGATGAATATTCCAAATATTGAAAATCAAGATGAGTTGAATAAAACCAATTTAACCTAACCACAAATTATAGGATACATTTCCTAAATGGACTCAACTACAGAAAGGAGTCCAACAGTCAACCAGGCAGTTCCTTTAGAAAGGACCAGCAGGCCAACAGTGTGTGAAGAACTGGGTGTCATTCCAAAAATCTTCGATACCGGTACCGACACTTTGACTTGAATACCTATCTGTAAACAATACTTTTTGATACCAATTTTCTAAAATCAATTTTAACAAGAAAAATACACAAACATTACACATATAGGTGCAGATTATTAGTTATATTTTCCAGTTCCTTGGCATTTTTTTCCACTCAAAGCAGTTTCACAACATAAAAAGTAAACCTATTTACCACAGCCTCAAAAAAGAAAAATACCCCAGGTCTGAATTCATCATCAACAGAGAGAATACGAGTGCATTTGGGTGGGTGACTGTAGATAAAACCTAACCCTAACAGCTGCAAGGCTTAATGGCATTCTATTGGAGCCGTAGGAACCTATTCAATTCAGGAAAGGGATTTTCAGCTCATCAATCGACTTCTGCATTGCTTCAAAAATAAGGGACTTGGAAGGATAAATAATTTACAGAGCTGGAAAGGGAGACACAGTAAGATGAAAGGACAAGAGACAAAATAAGGAAAATAACACTGAGCACAAGCTCCACAAACACAGGGGAAGAATAAAGAAAGAGAACAACCATGAGAGAGAGAAAGACAGCAGGAGGAATGCGAAGAGGCAAGGTTGAAAAGAGACTAGAGAGAATCGCCAGCCAGCAGCAAGGCGGCTTCAAGGAGACATCTCTGTCAGCCTCATCGTTTCTCAGTCTCTCTCTTCCTGCCTTCTCTCTCACACACACACAATTAAAGGAAAAGCCTAAATAAATACATAAGTGGTTTCTTCCAGGATTAGTGTCACGAGGGGTCACTGAATGGTTTGAAGAGTATTAAAATGATGAGTCATACTGTATGCTTTGGCCTTACCAGATCTCAACCCAACTAAACGCGTATGAGAGATTCTGGAACGCCGTGTTAGACAGTCTCTCCAACCCTATCATCCAAATGAGGGAATATCTTTTGGAAAACTGGTGTTCATCCCTCCAGTTGAGTTTAAAGACTTGGAGAACCAACGCCATGGTGCACCAAAGCTGTTCTGGTGGCACAAGACCTTACTGAAACACTTTGGTGACAAATGAAAGGCAACAATCTATGCATCCACCCTTCCTCCCTTGCTTCTCTTAGCACTGTTATGAACAATCTGTGCCTCCTGGGTGGTTGTATTTACTCATCTAGGCTTCCTTTGTCACCTCCTTTCCTCCCTCACTGCTTTATTCTTTTAGCAGGAAACAAGAGGTCAGAAGGACAGTGACAAATCCTTCTTCCTGTATGCCATTGTTATCTGTCATCGGTCTCTGAGGATGTGACTGAATAAGAAGGGAGAAAATGTGTTTGCATACGTGTGCAATCTACTGCTATAACCCTCCCTACTGCCATGATGAACAGAGTCATTCAGAAACCAATGACTTGCACATTAGTGATGAAGCTGGAGCAGGCAATCTGGTATTGCTATGATAGAATGCCAGTGTATTCAACCCTTCTCATTGGAGCAGAATACAGAGATGGATGAACCTCATTTTCAAAATATTGTAGGGTATTTATGCTTTATAAGTGAACATATAGTGTCAAGTGACAGAGACATAACTTGGAACTGAGGCTGGTGTCATGAGCAGCAATTAGGAGTATAATGGTTCACCAAATCCATGGTTCATTCTGCTTTTGAACCACCGCGCTTCAGCTCATACCTCACTTTTATTTTTGATCACTTGTTTATTTGTTTTGTGGTTCTGGAACACAGAGCGTGGATGTTTGGTTTGTGGTTACAGTTTCAGGACTATCATATTCCTAGCAGCAGGACACAACCCAATCTGCCTTTACACAAGATGCACTGAATTGGCTGGAGATAACCATAAAGAAGAACAATGATTTTTAAAAAATTGGTTGAATTCCCTTTTCTCTAGTTTATTTTCATTGTTTCAGTGTCACCATTTTCCACACGTCACACACAAACAATTCTGTCTATTCTATGGTTCCTTATGGAAAAACCACAGTAGAATGTACAAACAAACCAAACATTCTCCTCATGGAACAGTTTAACTTCTGTGGACAAAAAAAAAACAGGCCCGACTTTAACTACTCCTTTATACACACACACACAACTGTGAAGCCCCTCTGTGAACAACAGCTGTGGTTCTTGTTGTTGCTAGTGTTGGAAATACTGCTGCTCATTCAGATGTGCTCTTATACCAACCACCTTTTGTCCCTCATATGTTCAGCCAGATTTTTCAATAAAACTGATTTATATTTATGAAAAGATACACTTGGACTGCATCTGGGATTTTTACGTGGCAAGCTGTCAACTGATTTTTTGCTTTGTATTTACCAACAGCTACAGTTGAGAACCATATCCATGCGAATAATGACATTAGTGACAACATGTGGCTTGAGTAAAGCAGCTACAGACCCGTCGTTACAACAAGAACCAGGTTTGCACAAACATATTTTGAGAGCAAAGATCAGACCAGATCTACTGGCTGTAAGACTAAACAAAGGAGGTACTACATGTGTCTGTGAAGCAACATGTGCATGCATGCACACTCAATAAACACTACTTGCGTTCACAAAAGAGTGTGTGTGTGCGCATCTCACTGTACATTATGTACAGTACAAGGCAGACAGGGTAAGTCAGAGCCTGGGGAGAAGTAAAGATTACTACAGTATGTTCGCACTGTTGACCATAATGAAAATAACCTTCCCCCATCCCCTAACTAACCTCCTAATGAGAACATAATAAAAGCCACATGGCCAATGACTTTCTGCTGGCAGCCCCTAAACCAGCAAGCCAGACTCCACAGCCACTGTCGATCTGACTGACTGACTGACTGACAAGCTAGAGGGTAAAGAGCACAGAGACCCTAAGGATTGCAGTTTAATGGTTTGTGCCTGCTCTGGTCTACTCACTAGGAACTGCTCTCTGCACCGAGTCAGTTGGAGCATCCAGTTAATATTCACTTCACTAAAGCTGCCGTTTCAAGTAACTACAGTACATCTGCAAGATTTTCAAGGTGCTGTACATACAGAGCTTCAGAAATGTACTACTGTGGCATATGACATTTGACAGTACACAGTGATTTGGGAGTTGTATTCATATAAGAATCCCTCTTGGTTTCACAATAACTACACTGAGTTATAATTGAAAGCAGCTCTAAATGGAATTAAAGAAAAAATACCTTGTGAAGTTCTGGCTGATGGTCCTTATGACTAGTGGTTGAACAAATGAAATGCAAGAAAACACACAATGGCGCACACACACAAATGTGTGCACACTCACTGCAGGTCTCTTTGTTTATTTATTTACCCTTCATGCCAGTGGGGGAGTATGAAAATTAAAGAGGTAACCGTGACCGTTGAAGAGTGATGAAAACACAAAAGCCACATTAATGGTTGTGGTGACTGATAAAGGCAGGTGAGGGAAGATTGATTTAAACGCCATTTGATCTCCTTTAAATGGTTCAGATATCTTTCAACAAGCCAGCAAACAATTTACTTTGAAAAGCTGATTACATTTAGAGAAAGATGTACACAAAGGCTATGAACCTTTGTGTGGACAATGTTCTCAAAAAAGCAACAACCAATTCAATGGCCTTGTAGTGGTTTTGCAATGGGGGCTATTACATTAATAACTGAGCTATATGGACTGGAACACAAGCATCTTTATCTATACAAAGTTATAATTTCCACAGCCATTACACCATGATCTTAAATGATGACCTGCTACAAATGATCTTCTCTCTTCAGATACCTCACTGACCTCACTGGAATATCAAGTAGCACTTGGAGCTGCATAGATCAAGCTGCTCAGAAATGTTTTCATGGCATTCAAACATTTGAAACTGCACTATTGTTGCTTTTAGGCTGCTCAGATATATCAAGTAGCATGGTTAGGTTCTGCAGGTCAAAGCTTTGATGCAATGGTTAAATGAATTCAACACTTCAGGTAACAGAAATATGGGCTGCAACATCTCTGTGGTAAGCATCAGGAGTTACATAAACAAGACTTTACTCTGGCCAAAGAAAACTGAAAGGAATGAAAAAAGGATTTGCTTGAAACCAGCCAATTACTCTGTCCATTTCCCATCACCTCAACAATAAAATCTGGATTTTCATCATCTTCAGTTGAGTCCCCTTTGTATCTCATAATGGCAGAATTAAAGAAAAGGAATGAAACAGAAAAGTCAAGTGAAACATCAAAGTAATAGATAATTAAAACTGTTCTACTGTCACATTCTAATGAAGTGTCAAAATTACATGCGTCTTTGTGAAGTACATGTATGCTTGCTGCCCATATAATTCAACTAGAAACATGTCTTGGATAAAGTATGACTTTTTGTCTTGCTTATGTTTGAAGACCACTCCAATTATAACTCACACAGAACTGGTCAAGGTATTAGTCTGCGTAATGTTGTGGTACTTTTTCAGTGCACCAACACTTACCAGAGAGAGGGTTTCGGCCCATTACCAGCACGTTTGGTAAAGGCATCATTACCAGCTGTTGGAGACTCTCCTGTCACACAAAGAAACAGAAAGGGAGAACCAACATTTAGTGTTTCAATGCAATAATGAGAATGAAAAAAATACTGTTTACATGACCAACAACAACAAGCCCAAACAACTTGAATAAACTTTTACAGAGTTTTTAGGTGTTGCATTTTGTCACTAGGAGCGAGTTTGGTCAATATGTCAAAAGAAGTAAACACTCTGGGTATGGTTTACATTGACACTGTTGAAATAACTTATTTTATTGGTATAAGTCAAAACTTTTGCCAGTAAGAGCACGTTACAAAAAGATTTCAGCATTTTACAAGTCTAGCTTAATCAGGACTGCAGAGGTTTTCAGTGCATGCCGTCATGCTTTCGACATCAAAGTAAGTACGACATAATGACAAACCTGAGGGCTCTGACACTGGGCTCTGTAATATCATCTCCAAGCAAAGACAGTAACAGTGAATGGACGGCCGGGGGGGTACGTTTTAACAGTGTGAACAAGGTGTACACTTCAAAAGATTATCAAGACGGGGAAGCGATGATGCTTTGCACAAGGCAATATCATGAAAAAAAATCTAAAGTGTGGGAATATTTCAGACAGAGGCCGAATCGAACGGTTATCCGTTCACTCTGTGACAAGGAGATGGCATTCCAGGGCAGCACTTCTGCGACGTCAACCCCATCTGAATGCCTTTTCTCAGTTGTCGGGAACATTGTAAATAAAAAAAGAGCAAGCCTGACTCCAGAGCATGTAGACCTGCTTTCATTTCTCCACTGCAATGCTGTTTGAGCCCTTTCTGACTGACGGTGATATGCATACTTTTATTTAAGATTACCTGCCTATGTTTTGAACTGAGTCAAGTTACTGAAATTGGTAACCCAGGCCCCCAACGTTTTTTTGCACTTTTTATGTTGGACTTAAATAACACATTTAGGTATTCGTTGCAGTGCCAAGCAGAACTGATATTGGACCCATTACCTTTTAGTTATTGGATTTTAAATAATTACAGTTCAGGTGTTCATTCTTTGATGTTGGATGTAAAATTGTCACCTTTCCAGTGTTAATTCTTTGCACTGTTGAGCACTGTTGCACTTTAAAGCACAGATTACCAGTGTTCTTTCCACTGTGCTGGGTTGGAGTATTATTTATGTTGTACTTTTTGTAATTGTTTTTATATTGCATTTAAAATTGCACTTTATTTTCAAACTGAAACTTTTTTTTTTATAGAAAATTCAATAAAAAAGAAAGAAATACTAATGGTTGAAGTCGTTTTACTTTTTTTTTTTAAGTGAAAAATTGTATGCTAATTAGAAACATTAACAGATTAGTTGACTAATCGAAAATTTCATTGATAGATTAGTCGACAGACAAATTAGTCAAATTATGCAGCTCTAGAGTGACAGTGGTGTTTATGCGAGTTAAACTGCTGTCATGGGTTATGCCACAGGGCCCCCTCCATTCACATGTCAATCATGACAACCAAAATGAAACCATAAGCTACAATTTACAACAGTCTGCAGACAGATAAGTACAGCATATGTGCACATGCGCGTGCACACACACACAGTGGGTAAGGATGGGTAGGATTTAATTACTGTTGATGCTTTGGTTTAGTGCAAGTCAAAGCAATGGAAATTATGGGCACTGCAATAGTGCACAAACAAGCTACCAGAAACAGTCACATCTTTAGGAAATATAATTGTATAATCTTTTTTTGTGTTACATGATGTCAAGTACATTTCTCTCATAAGCTCAATGATAGCTACTTTGTCTGGTGATGCATTGCAAAATTGAACATAGAGGCTACGATTCAACAACCATCTGATGAAATATGTGTGTCCTATTATAGCAGTAAACAGAGGCCAGACCACAGTGGCATTGAAAGAACAGCTTGTTTCATGAAGGTGGCCTAACCTGCTACTTGAACTCATCTGACTCGACAGCTCGACTTTTCTGTGCATGTAACTGCTGATGTCACAACAAAGGGACTTACAGTAAGTAAAGGGGTTTGGAGAAATGCCCTCATGCTGTAACCATCTGCCATATACATACTGCATTACCTCATCATGGAGGTGAAGGGAGGCAGGAAATCTGACATCATTTGGTGGTTTTGACTGATTAAAAATAAAGCAGCATCTGTGCTTGTTGTTTCAACAACTAACACGTCATTGTTTCTACACATCAAGAGATGTTCAGTACAGTTGTAAACATAACTTCAGCTTCTGTACATCCTCCTTATCAGAGCTTTCAACGGTTGCCGCTCTTACGCCTGTGGTCATCTAAACCTTTGTTAGCAGTTTTTTGTTTTTTTTTTGTCTCTGTATCAAATTAAAATCGCTGGTTTACAAAAGAAGATGTGATGGGAGGTAACAGATGGTCAGTGCATCACCAACATGTGGCTTCAAACAGACACGCTCTCTACCTTTAAGATTAGACTTAAGACTTTCTTTTTGATAAAGCTTCTAGTTAAGTTGATATCATATTGTTGCTCTATCATTAATAATTGGTGTTTGTGATAATATAGCTGCCTAACTAATTATTAGTAGTATAGTTTCAGTGGTTGGGCAGTTGAGCAAACCCAGCTCTGAGGTGACTGCCACTACAAGCCTTCTTAACCTGAGCAAACACAATGCAGAGAATATGTCCTGCCAAATATCTGCTTATTGTCTGGGTGAGGAGAGGATTCAGAGATGGTTTGTTTTAAGGGTAAGTCAGCTTTTGAAAATGGTGTTGCTTATTGTGGGACTCTCAAGATTTATGACGGCATGGCCTGGCACCCCCTCATCAAATAATGGGTAGCCATCATTTAACTCGTATACTGAGCTTCCATATGAATGCTCTCCCATTCTTTGGCACATTTATTTTGTATTGCTGACTGATTGTATGGAATAGTATTAGATTACTATATAGTGTTACACATGTAAATGGTGTGCGTGTATGCTGTATATGTACTGTGTATACTGTATAGTATTATAATCCTAGTAGGACAATGATGGAGAGTAGAAAGGAACTTAGCAAGTTCCGTCTTCTGATAGTTCATGGCATAATAACAACCTGTTGTGTCCTGATGCTTCTCTCTCTCTCTCTCTTCTATCCACTTATCCCCATCAGTCGAGGCAGAAGGCCGTCCACCAACAGTCTGTCGGAGGTTTCTCCCATTAAAGGGAGTTTCTCCTCCCCACTGTCGCCAAGTGCTTGTTCAAGGGGGATTTGCTGGGTTTTCCTTATAAGAGCGTACGGTCTGGACCCAAATATGTAAAGTGCCCTGAAACAATTGTTGTGAATTGGTGCTATACAAATAAATTGAAATGAACAAACTTAATACTGTAGCATAACAATGATGAATACCATCAGGCAGTTCCGGTCTGAAATGTCACTCATACCTGTCCTCGTCAATGGCAGCATGTGGTTTCTGTGCAAGCACATTTAAAGCTATTCATACCACTCAAACACATAGTAATAACATCTTAACATTTTAGGTCAATCCTGTACTGAGCACAGGTGCAATGATAAAAGGCGTAGCTTCAATGCATGTACCACTTTTAACCCCGACACTTTTGTCACTGTTGTTCCAACCCCAAAATGAGTTATTTTAACTCATTTCCTCTCTTCAGCTGAAGAGGTTTTAAAGGAATGATCTGCATTATGCAGAGTTATGATTCTAGTGCAACATCATGCTTATTCAGTACCACTTTTCCTTCCTTTCTCCACCAAACTGCTCTTGCTAGTCAGGGTTCTTCTGATCTGCCCAGGTGTTACATAGATCATCATGGGCTTTTGTTGCATTTCCACTTACATTAAATCTGTATTCTGTGTCTGACTTTATAATGTTGAAAAGACAGATTGTGGCACTAATGCAAGCCAGATGTGTAACAGAGGTAAAGAGTCTTCAGAGAAGAGTTAATTCACTGTCCCTGCTTTGTCTCTACTACCCAAAGCACACAGAGTGAAGTACAAGACACTGTCTATTTTATGCCCTATGGACAAGATAATTAACATTTAAAAACCACAGGGTCCTGATCATTTATGGAGATGCTGAAAGAGGTTATCAGTGAGTAAGAGCTGCACACTAAGGCACAAGCCCAATCAACTTTATTTGTACCATGTTGATAATTTAGGATAATGCATGTACTCTTAAGACTGCACTTTAAATATGCTGTCAAATGGACTGTATTTTCAATAACATGGTTTGAAGATTAGCACAGGTCAATAACAAAGCTAAAACAGAGTTGCCCAATATCTTGGATTAGCTGACAAATGCTTAGGTTTCATACATAAAACCTGATGGATATGGCAGGAGAGAGACCAGCCACCACACTGAGCAAGTTATGACAGTGTGCTACCAATACTAACAGTTATGCACATGCTAACATAGCTGTCAAACCAAAAGCTTTCATTGTAACTATAACAGAAGAGGTGTTCTTGGCTCAGTCACTATATCACAATCTTCACTATCTAATCCTAACAGATGAGGAATCCTATAATGGAATAGCCAGTGACTTAAAAAAATGCCAATACTCCCAATATAGAGGAAGTGAGTTTTGAAGCAGAAAAAAAATGGAGGGGAAGATGGAGAAAAGAGATGAAAAGGAGGAGGAAATTGAAGACAGTGAGAGCAATGCAGCTTTGATTCCATCACTTCTCACTCCAGGCACGCAGAACTGAGCTGCCGCCTCCTCCTCGACGTCTTTCATTTCCCCCCCATCCCCCTATTCTGACTCCATTGCTCTATTATTGATTCCAGCAGGATTCACAGTTCCTCAACACCGGCTCCTCTTCCAGCCCACAGAGACATTTAGACAGACAAGGTGTCAGATACAGGAGAACTTGTCAAACACAATGGAATTTACTCATGCAATATACAGTGCTTTGTCTGTACAAAGTGTGTGAAAATACAGCGTTGGGCAAGCACCTTTATGTTTATGTGAGCAGAAGGCTCGGCAAATCGGTTAACAACTGATATAATTCAATACCCATTATGATATGCCTCATCATCCTTTCTTTAGAAGATATCTGGC